GACCCATTTGTTTATTTTTTCCTTTGTTTCCCTTGCCCTAGGAGATGTAACAGCAAAAATACTGCTACAGAATATGTCTGAGATTTTACTACCTACATTTTCTTCTATGATTTTTATGGTTTTTGTGACTTAAATTTAGTCTTTTATCCATTTTGAGTTCATTCTTGTGTATGGTGTAAGTTGGTGGTCTAGTTTCATTTTTTTTGGCATGTACCTGTCCAATTTTCCCATCCCCATTTATTGAAGAGACTATCTTTATCCCTTTCGTGTCTCCTTTGTCATAGATTAATTGACCATAGAGGTGTGGACTTATTTCTGGGTTCTCTATTTTGTTCCATTGATGTATGTGTCTGTTTTTATGCCAGTACCATGCTGTTTTGATCACTGTAGTCTTTTAGTATAGTTTGATATCAGATAGCTTGATACCTCCAATTTTGTTCTTCTTTCTCAAGATTGTTGTGGCTATTCAGGGTCTTTTTTGGTTCCATATAAATTTTAGAATTATTTGTTCTAGTTCTTTGAAAAATGCCATTGCATTTTAATAGGAATTGTGTTGAATGTTTAGATTGCTTTGGGTAGTATGGGCATTTTAATGACGTTAATTCTTCCTATCCATGAGCATGGTATATGCTTCCATTTATTTGTATCTTCTTCAATTTTTTTTCAATGTCTTCTTTTCTTTTTAAAAAATACATCTTTATTGATTTCAGAGAGAGGAAAGGAGAGGGAGAGAAAGAGATAGAAACATCAATGATGAGAGAGTCATTGATCGAGCCCACAACCCAGGCATGTGCCCTGACCAGGAATCAAACCCTGATCGCCTGGATCCCAGGTCTCGACTCTCAACCGCTGAGCCACGCCCGGTTGGGCTCAATGTCTTATTTTCTGAGTATAGGTCTTTTGCCTCCTTGGTTAAATTTATTCCTAGGTAATCTTTTTTATGCACTTGTAAATGGGATTGTTTTTTTAATTTCTCTTTATGATAGTTTGTTTTTGGTGTATAAAAATGCAACTGATTTCTGAATATTTATTTTGTATCCTGATACTTTACTGAATTTATTGATCAATTCTGATAGGTTTTTTTTTTGTTTTTTTTTTTTAAGTATGTCTTTATTGATTTCGTAGAGGGGATGGGAGAGGGAGAGAGAGAGAGGTAGAAACATCAATGATGGGAGAGTCATTGATTGACTGCCTCCTGCAAGCCCCCCCACTGAGGACTGAGCCCACAACCCAGGTATGTGCTCTGAAGGAGAGTTGAACTGGGATCTCCCAGGTCATAGATCATTGCTCAACCACTAAGCCACACTGGTGGGCAGTTCTGATAGTTTTTTGGAGGACTCTTTAGGTTTCTCTCTCTATAGTACCATGCCATCTGCAAATAATCAGTTTTACTTCTTCCTTTCCAATCTGGATGTTTTTTATTTCTTTTCTTGTCTGATATTTGTGGCTAGAACTTCTAATACAATGTTTCATAAAAGTGGTGAAAGTGGACATCCTTTTCTTGCTCCTTATCTTAAGGAAAGAGCTTTTAGGTTTTCACTGTTGAGTGTATTAGCTGTGTGTTTGTTATATAAGGCCTTTACTATGTGATTGTATGTTTCCTCTATTCCCATTTTGCTGAGTTTTTAGCATAAATAGATACTGGATGCTGTCAAATGCTTTTTCTGTATTTATGGATATGATCATATTATTTTTATCCTTCATTTTGTTTATGTACTGGATCACATAATTGATTTGCAGCTATTAAACCAACCTTGCATCCCAGGAATAAATTCCACTTGATTGTGGTGTATTACCTTTTTAATGTATTGCTGAATTTTGTTTGCTAATATTTTGTTGACAATTTTTGTATCTATGTTCATCAGGGATGTTGGCTTTAATTTTTTTGTAGTGTCTTTGTCTGGCTTTGGAATCAGGGTAACCTTGTAAAATGAGCTTGGGAGCCTTCTCTCCTCTTGAACTTTTTGGAATGGTTTGAGAAGGAATAGGTGTTAATTCTTCTTTGAATTTTTTGTAAGTTTCACCTGTGAAACCATATGGTCCAGGACTTTTGTTTGTTGCAAGTTTTTAAATTACAGATTAAATTTTCTTAGTAGTTATTGGTTTGTTCAGATTTTCTGTTTCTTTTTTATTTAGTCTTGGAAGAATCTGTTTCTGGGCATTAATCCATTTCTTCCAGGTTGTTCAATTTGTTGGCATATAATTGTTTTTAGTATTTTCTTATAATCCTTTGTATATATGTAGTGTCAGTTGTTACTTCTCCACTTTCATTTCTGATTTTATTTATTTGGGTCCTCTATCTTTTTACTTGATAAGTCTGGTTAAAATTTTAGCAATTTTGTTTATCTTTCCAAAGTCCCAGCTCTTGCTTTTGTTGATCTTTGGTATTGTTTTTTTAGACTCTGTTTTATGTATTTCTTCTCTGATCTTTATCATTACCTTCCTTCTACTCACTTTGTACTTTGTACTTCTTTTTCTAGTTTAGGTGTAAAGGTAGATTGTTTGAGATTCTTCTTATTTCTTGAGTTAGGCCTATGTTGCTATGAATTTTCCTCTTAGAACTGCCTTTGCTGTGTCCCATAGATTTGGGGGTCATTGTGTTTTCTTTATCATTTTTCTCAAGGTATTGTTTGATTTTTCCCTTGATCTCGTTGTTAACTCATTAATGGTTTAGTAGCATGTTATTTAGCCTCAATGTGTTTGTGTGTTTTTCAGTTTTCTTCTTGTAGTTGATTTCTAGTTTCTACTATTGGGATCAGAGAATATGCTTGATGTGATTTCAGTCTCCTTAAATGGACTGAGACTTGTTTTGTGGCCTAACATGTGATCTACCTTGGAAAATGTTCCATGTGCACTTGAAAAGAATGTATATTCTGCTACTTTGGGGTATAATATTCTAAAAGTATAAGTTAAATCCATTTGGTTTAATGTTTCACTTAAGGCCACTGTTTCCTTGTTGAGTTTATGTCTGGATATTCTGTTTTTTGGAGTCACTGGGTTGCTAAAGTCCCCTACTATGACAGTATTACTGTCAATCACTCCCTTTATGTTCATCAATATTTGCTCTATATATTTAGGTGCTCCTACACTGGGTGTGTTTACAAGGGTTACATACCCTGTTGAGTTGATCCCTTTTATCATTATAAAATGTATAGGTCTTTGTATGATGTACATACATACACATATGTGTATATAAATATATACATATTTCAAACGTCAAATTTTACACATACATATGTGTAGTTTATTGTATATCAATTATACCTTAAAACTATTTTAAAAATTGAGTGTGTACTTTGTATCTTGCTTTTCTATTTAATTTTTCTATTAATTCCTTTATATTTTATTAGTCCACAGTGAAATAAAAATGCCAAAATTTTATCTTTTAGCACATAGTTTGTGAGCATGGTTCTAAGGATTTGCATTGTTGGAAAGATGGTCACTTTAGGAGTCACAATATAAGGTGTCCCAAAAAAATGTTTACACACTTTAACAGCTGATAACTCACTGAAATTTGAAAATGAACTATATGTTAATAAACATACTAAACTAAAGCATTGGTAACTTTCATGTACTGTGGGGCAGTCACACCCTGTCTTGTGTATTTTTATGTGTATTTGAGGTTGGACCATCTTGAGGCAGCCCCCCAGGGAACAGTGTGGAAGTCTCACTCTGACAGGCCAGCACTTCCTGGACCCTGCCTGTCCAGGCTACACTTGGTCATGAATGGATGTGAAAGTTCATACATAGGAGAGTTGAGGTAAGTGAAGACCATCTAGGACATGCATAATTTGGGATGTGCATTAAAATGTTTGGATATAAAATTATGGGAGTATGGATTATGAGTAATATCACAAAAGTAAAGAAACACCTGTATGGGGCCATGAGGTACAGAGGTAATATACTGGCCAGGTGGCCTCTAAGGCTGGGGCAAAAGCCATTGGATATAACCATGGCGTGGCTGCTCTGTGCCTGGGAGTCAGGGACTTACACAGTGCGCAGAGGAGGGAGTGGTGGCCAGAACCTCTGCAGTCACATAATTTAGCTCCTCTTAACCATCTGTCCACAAGTTCAGAAAGCACAGACTGGGTCTTCCTTACCATTCCCTCTGTAACTCAGACGTGTTTTCTAAAAGAACCTCTCTGAGCTATTTGGTATGAATAACCTTTGCAAACGTTTAGTCTCAGCCAGTGCTGCTTACTCAACTGACCTTCCTTCCCCATTCTGAATTCACACACACTTCCTCTTCTCTGTTATAAAGGACTAACTATACTATGAAAACAGAGTCCCAAAAATTAAATGAACAAGATGAGAAATCTTGTGCATTTCAAAGCCACCTGCAGCCCCTGTCCAAACTAGTGCGATTTCTGCTCCTTTCCTCCTGCACTGGTGCATGTTGTTGGCCTCCCCCTTGGCTGGGGTATCAGGAGAACTCTCCTCCACCCTTCAGTCTTCCTTCTCCCCAACACCTGTTAGTATCAAAGGGGGCCAGAGTGAATGGATTTGTCTTTTATAGGTAGGGTTACCAAACTTAGAAAATCAAAATACAGGATTCTCAGTTAGATTTGAATTTCAGAGAAACAATGAGAAACTTTTTAGTATAAAAACGGAACATACTTATACTAAAAAATTAGTTATTTCTCTGAAGTTCAAGTTTAACTCAACATCTAGTATTTTTTCTGGAGGTCCTAACCACAGCAGAGAAGGACATAGAATCAGGGAAGAGGAGGCGCCTGGAGTCTTCATCTCCTTGCTGAACTAAAGGTTTCCTTGGGAGCTGTGGGCTTAGTCATGTCACCTGGAGAGCTGACTGCATGGGCAACTGGGAGAGGGATGGGTCCCCCTGGGTGCCTCTTGCCCTTTGCAGGGTCCTGGCTCAGTGCCTACTGGTCCCCTTCCCATTTCTTGTTTTTTTGAGGGCACATCCTTCTACCTGCTCAAGTTCAAGCTGGGAATGGGGACAAGTGCCGTTGAGGTAAGAAGCAAACGCAAGCACAATGTGCAAAAACACAGACATTTTGACTTTAATAAGTTATAAAATCAAGGAACCAAATTTTACTATACAGAAAACAAATTTATGGCTTGCTGTGATCAGTAAGATAAAATGTGATTGGAGTTCAGCACCATGATGGTTTTTGTGGTGGCTGCCTGTCAAACAGGAGTACACAGTCATCTGATAGACTTTGCTATTAAGCACCATTTATATATTCCAAACAAAAGAACAAGCAAGAAAAAACACACACCAAGAACCTTAAAATATAAGTGAAATGCTTATATGTGAAATTCCATGGGTTTTCCAAAAGCAGTATATCAGAGAGCCAAGTTCCAAAGTGCTAGCACGAGTCTCCCTGTGAATGGGAGACTCTAAAAAATCAGCTGATATTTCAGAATTGTGGACAGAGGATGTCTGAGTTACATACGGTGTTATGAGACTCGGCTCGAATACCTGCTTGGCCTCCCCTATGAGGCAGGAGCCCTGTACACAGGGATGGATGAACACTGGCTCTGGAAGCTCGGGACTGTTGCTAAGCCTGCTCTCCAACTGTCCCAAGTTCCGTGAAGATTTGCAGTTTCTCAGAGCTGGGTGAACACTGCGTTCCTTGGACAGAGAGACCTCTGAGGACTGTCTAGTTCTGGAGAGCTCTGGATATATGGTCCAAGGCACCAAGGATAGCATGTGAGGCCATGGCCATGCTGGTCTACAGCGTCCAGAGGACCTCTCTTTCCCTCTAGCAAAACACAGGTACCCTTGGCAATGTCCCACCTAGGGCCTCTCTCTAAAGACTTCCAGCCCCAAGATATGCAGCCCTGCTTTGCCAGGATCTGGGAGTGGAGCATTCTCATTCTGAGGCCTCCAGGCTGCGTAGACTGAGTAATACCCTCTGGCCAGGGTTAGTCACCCCAAACTTCCTTTACATTCCAAGACAGACCCAAGCAAGAACTGCCTAGTCTTTCAGGCCATGAATAGTGCCAGGGGTTCTACCGCTGAGAGAAAGCAGAGAGACCTATTTCCTAATTATACCGACAGGATTTACTTTATACCAAATCTTATTGAAGAAGAAGTTATACTAGGAGAGATGTTCAAAACGTTTTCTCCAGTTTGGTTTTAGGAGCCAGCAAGCTCCTTTAAAACAGGGACGTGCATGAGCGTGTGTGGGACATGGGGGGCAGAGGTAGGGGGCAGGCTGGTCAGGGGACAGGATGGCTGGGCATCACCCAGTTGGACGGTGAAGCATTATCCCAGATACTGTTCTCACTATGTCCTACACCCTTTTTGTATCCCTTAGACTACACACACAGACACATCCAAACACATGCACAGATTCACACAGATGCACCTCAAAACTCAATATAAAGGAGCCATCATGGTGTTATCTTGAGCCTCAGTATTTTTGTCCTTATAATGGGCAGTTAAACAAGAAAGAGTTTTCTAAGATCTATGACTGGCAAGAATGAAAAGGCTCTAGAACTTCTGTGGATATGAAAAGCCTAAGAATTAGGCCCAGCTAAGGAGCTAATGTGCCCCCTAGGTCTTATAATTCTGGGAAATTTAAGCTGCATGTTAATATCAAAGCAGGGAGATGTAAAAATTAGCCATTGCTTTCCCAACCACCCCCACTCACTCCCTTCTTATTTCTCTCTCATTCACATCTTGCTCACAAACCACCATTCTGCCAAGGTAGAAAGGGTTAGTGTTTTGGAAAGAGCAGAAGATACAGCAGGCTCTCCCCATCCCCCACCCAAAGCCTCCCATCAGAGGACATGCCTTGCAGTTCCCTGCTGAAGCTTCTAAGGGACGAAAGTGGGGGCAGGGCTGGGGAGTTGGGAGGCTCCATAGGGCAAGCCCATCCCCCACAAGCCAGGCTGGTGATCAGAAGCAAACCCAAGCACCCAAAGTAGGTCCCTCCGCATGACCACCTGGTGGCAGCACTCCCAGCCCCCTGGGAGAGTCAGGGCCTTGATCACTCACTGGACTTCCCAGCACAGTGCATGCCTCTCAGCCTTGCCATGCGCTTGGGGAGGAGAGAGCCTCTTTGGGGAGCTGCAGGGCTGAGGCCAGGCTGGCTAGAGGGGACAAGCAAGGCCAGGGTTCATGGAGAGGAGAGAGACCTGGGATTGTACCCCACTGGCTTCTCCTCTCTCAGAAAACGTGACTGGCTGTTTAGATCAATCCTCAAGCCAAAGTTATAGGATTCCCGGTACTTTTCCGGGAAGAAATGGTCAGTGTCACAGCTCAGACATGGCTGAGATATTCTAGTGCAGCTGGTGAGCACCAAATGGGTCAGTTGTCTTCCCCTAAGTCCTTAGTTGGCAAGGCTGTGTCAGGCCAAGCATGGAGACCAGAGGCTGCAGCCTGGCAGCTCTAGACCCTAACAGACTCCCAGGCCTCCTTAGAATATTTTGGGCTGATCTTTAAAGACTGAGAATTTTCACATGCAAATCTAGACTTCTAGTGAAAAAGCATGCTATGTGGCAGCGGGGCCCAGTTCTCACAGAGGCAGGAATGCTGGAGCTGACCCATAATTGGCAGCTCTCAGGTTGGTCCCGGTCCCCAGCTGGCCACCATACTCATCCTCACCACCTGCCTGGTCATTGAAGGCACTGGAGTTCCCAGCCTCCACCTCAGTGTGCTCATTTTAGTGACTGGTCAGTTAGTAAATAAATCACCATTTCCTAAGAGGCCCCATGTGGTTTGTGTCTAGGCCTGGGGATTAGAAGGAAATGTCCTGTGTTTCCAGAAGGGTTGTCACCACTGAGGAAAGGAAGATGCCCGGTTACTGCGCAGAAACTTGAGGCAAGTGCTTTCTTTCTCCCTCGCTGACAGAGGCTGTAGAACCTCCACATTCCTCGCTACCCCACACCCAACGCCGGTTCAGGACTTAGAACATTCTCGGGCTGGGACACCCAGGCGCTCTCCTCATTGCCACATGCTCACAACTGCGCGCACACACACATACACATATTTTTATGCCATTCTCCCTCTGTTCCTTCAAAACTTTTTGGACTTAGAAATTTTGGCTTCATCTCCATGACACAGGATTTGTCATTCCATGGAATATCTCTATAAGCAAGAAAAAAAAATGCTATTGATGCTACCTTTCCATTTTATTAGAACTATCCGAGCATCTCTTTCTTCCTCATTTCATCAATGAGCTCTTGGATTCTTTGGTTTCTAGTCTTCTCATATGGGCTCGGCCGGCGAGGAATTAGGTTGGGTGGCTGGACCTCGTTGTCGAGGCCATTGATTTTGTAGGGTACATCAACTGCATTGGTTTCGGGGTGATCCTTAGTAGCATTGGTACTGGAGGCATTGAGAGGCACCTCCAGGGGCGTGCCTGGCAGAGGCTGCACCTCCATGACTAGAGTGGGGACTGGGAGGGTGGGCATGAGCTCTTCAATGTCATTATGCTTCCCGGGTGGTGACCTTTCCCTGTCATCCACATCAGTGAGGTTGTCGTGCAGGTTACAGGACTTGCAGCACAGCTTGTTGTAGCCTGGGATGGAGCAATAGCGAGACAAGACTTCCATCCTACAGAACATTGACTTGTCACCTTGGCAGCGGCCCTCTGAAAGAGAAAAGTGGGACAAATAACCGAAGGACAAGATAAGGGAAACCTTGTGTCCCCACAGGGAGCAGCTTGCTGCAGGAGGCATTTGAAAGAGCCCAGAGAGAGTGCAGAGGCAAGCGAGCTCACACGGAGGATCTGTGTGGTTTCCAGGCCGGAGGAGCGCAGGACCCCTGCCCTGGAATGCAGCACACAAGCTGTGAGCAGTGATCCCTTCCTCCAAGCAGGCCCCAGCTGAGTCTAGATTTTTCAGTTCCTCAGAGCTTGAGACAGAAATGAGGCCTGTCTGTTCTCAGGGAGTGGTTCCAAGCTCATTTTAAAGAATGAGACTTAGCTAGATTTTTACACGTAACATCCCTGTGGTAACCCCAATGAAACTGGGTGGTAAAGTTTGGCTCTACAACAACCTATAATTGTAACAAAATTAAACCTAAGAGAGCCAATTCCTAAAACCTGATAGAGCAAACCCCAGAGCCTTGGCTGTGGCCTTACCACACTCCTCACATCTGTTCCCATCCTCACTATACTCCCCAGATGATCTTTATTTCTGAGAAGTGCCTAAAGGGAAATTAAAAGTTACCCAGACTTGTGTGCGCTTTTTTCTGTTTGCCTCAGCGTACCCGAAAGCCTCACGTCCTGCTCCATCCACCCCGCGGGCCTGCTGCACTGAGCTCCTGGCCATTTCCCAAGCAAACGGCTCCATAACTTGATGCCTTCACGTAGGCAAATCCTCCTGCCCCGCACGCCCTGCCCCTTCCCTCCTGCCCAGGGCACTGGTCATCCACAGTCCGGCTTGCATGGAGGCCTGACCCTCTCCTTGGAGGCCGCGTTGTCTCTCCTCACGCGGCTGCCCTCTCCCTAGCCTAGCTCCCACTCAGTCTGCAGCTATACTGAGTCACCCATCCACCTCCTCTTGTCTTCAATCCCCCCCCACGCTCCGTGTACTCCCCAAATTCCCATTCCTCTTCCCTTTTCCCTACCACCTCCTTCCACATACAACACAAAAATTCATTCAATATGAAGGAATGCGTAATATCACAAGGGGTATTTGATCTTGAAAATTCCTGATCACTGACCTCAGTGGGCCCCACTCTGCCTACTGTGTTTCTCTGCTCAGACGCTCTGCTCTCCACAGTGAGGATCCCAACCTTTCCCACACAAAGCTCTGCTGTGCCCTCCCTTCCCCTCTCTCCTTAGTGACCTCATCTCCTACTGAAAGAGAGGAAAGAGGGGAGGAAGGGCAGCCGCGGGATGGAAACCACATCTACGGATCATTCTGTACATCCAGCACTATCTGCGTCCACATCTGAAGCTATGCCAGCCCATCAAAACTTCCTGCCATAGCAGACAAGCAGGCCCCTCCATTCAGGGCCCACGGTTCTGATAGTCACCTGCCGCGTGGCCACTGCTCCAGCCTGTGATTTTCCCTACAGGCTGGTGACCACTTAGTTGGGCAGCAACCCCAAACTCCCCAAGGTCTAGATTCATGGGTGCAACTTCCTACTAGACACCCCCTAATCCCAATAGTCCCCAAGCTGCCTGAGATTCCACTCGTCCAGCCCAAGCCCACGACCTCTCCTGGTACCATCTGTCTCAGAGAATGGCCCTTCAGGTGCACACCCCATCCAGTCATCTCCAAGTCCATCAGTATTTCCTCCTACACCCTCTCAGATATGTTCACACTACCCTCTCTGTCACCTCCACATGCTGACTACACTGTGGTAAGAGCCTCCTTTCTACCTGCTTATCTACAATCAGAATGTTTTTCAACTGGAGATGTGATCATGTCACTGTCCCGAGTGAAGTCCCTGCATTGCCCCTCTTCGTTTTCCGAGTGAATACCTGTCCCTCGCCTCTGGTCTCCCTCAGGCCTCGGACCTCCTGCTGTGTTTGGTGCTCCTTCTGGCCACCAGACCTTTGCTCATACTGGGCCTCCCTCCCTCCTCCAGCTGCTCTCGTCTCATCTCTTCTCAGCTGAAACACATCTTCCTCAGATAAGCATCGCCTGACCTCCCGTAGGAGGTTAAATCCCACCAGAGTGTGGTCTCCGGGTGCCATGGGTCTCCCCTTCCCAGCGCTTCATCCCAGTTGGCAAATTCAGATTTAACTGTCAGATAAAGTGACTAATATGTGACTTGTTCAGTATCCTGAAAGCTCCAAAGGGCAGAGCACCGAGCTGTTGTTGAATGCTCCCTCCATCCCCAGGGCCTAGGACAGCGAACGGAAGGACGCATAAAGGTACAAATGTAAACACTATAAATGTGAATACGAGGAAGTCCAAAACAGGACATTTACGCATTTTGTAATACCAACGTCACAGGCAAGAACACACAGAGGCACCTTCCACCCGAGGTGGAACCAATTTGGGCTCTGAGCTTCTAAGTGGCCAAAATAAGGAGGAAGCATGACCGGCTTCAGGACCCCCAGTGCGAAGAAATAAACACAGGTCAGCTGCTCAAGAACAGCTGGGTCTTCCTACCCTTGAGACTGCGCAACGGGCTCAGGACGTGGCGGGAGAAAGGTAGACAGGCGGTCGAGGGCTGTGGGCTGATTCCAGAAATCAAACTCGAAGATCCAGAGACGTGGCTTTCAGGGTTTAAAAACTGATAGATGAAGTCTTACACAGATTCTCAAAACATGAGACAGATGAGATCGGAGCAGTCTTGTTTGAAACTGACGGGTGGGAGGGGCTCAGAGTCCCTTTCCCTTCCTTCCCCCTCCCTGGCCACTGTCCCTTTCTGGCACGTGAGCTGTGTGAAAACCACTGGCCACAGACCTCAGGGAGACCCAAGGGAGCTTTTGATAAGACGAGGTGCAGGCTTTAATAGTCGGGGGGGG